TTCTACCCATCATTGCACACATCTACCATCATTGCACACATCTACCATCATTGCACACATCTACATCATTGCACATCTACCATCATTGCACACATCTACCATCATTGCACACATCTACCATCATTGCACACATCTACCATCATTGCACACTACCATCATTGCACACATCTACCATCATTGCACACATCTACCATCATTGCACACTCTACCATCATTGACACCTCATTGCACACATCTACCATCATTGCACACATCTACCATCATTGTACACATCTACCATCATTGACACACTACCATCATTGCACACATCTTCACCTCCCATCATTGCACACATCTACCATCATTGCACACATCTACCATCATTGCACACATCTACCATCATTGCACACATCTACCATCATTGCACACATCTACCATCATTGCAACACAATCTTCCATCATTGCACACATCTACCATCATTGCACACATTACCCATCATTGCACACATCTACCATCATTGCACACATCTACCATCATTGCACACATCTACCATCATTGCACACATCTACCTTTCATTTGCACACATCTACCATCATTGCACACATCTACCATCATTGCACACATTACCATCATTGCACACATCTACCATCATTGTCACACATCTACCATCATTGCACACATCTACCATCATTGCACACATCTACCATCATTGCACACATCTACCATCATTGCACATACCATTCATTGCACACATACCATCATTGCACATCTACCATCATTGCACACATCTACCATCATTGCACACATCTACCATCATTGCACACATCTACCATCATTGCACACTACCATCATTGCACACATCTACCATCATTGCACACATCTACCATCATTGCACACTACCATCATTGCACACATCTACCATCATTGCACACATCTACCATCATTGCACAACATTACCCATCATTGACACATCTACCATCATTGCACACATCTACCATCATTGCACACATCTACCATCATTGCACACATCTACCATCATTGCACACATCTACCATCATTGCACACATCTACCATCATTGCACACATCTACCATCATTGCACACATCTACCATCATTGCACACATCTACCATCATTGCACACATCTACCATCATTGCACACATCTACCATCATTGCACACATCTACCATCATTGCACACATCTACCATCATTGCACACATCTACCCATCATTTCACACATCTACCATCATTGCACACTACCATCATTGCACACATCTACCATCATTGCACACATCTACCATCATTGCACACATCTACCATCATTGCACAACTACCATCATTGCACACATCTATACCATCATTGCACACATCTACCATCATTGCACACATCTACCATCATTGCACACATCTACCATCATTGCACACATCTACCATCATTGCACACATCTCCCCATCATTGCACACATCTACCATCATTGCAAAATCTACCATCATTGCACACATCTACCATCATTGCACACATCTACCATCATTGCACACATCTACCATCATTGCACACATCTACCATCATTGCACAACTACCATCATTGCACACATCTACCATCATTGCACACATCTACCATCATTGCACACATCTACCATCATTGCACACATCTACCATCATTGCACACATCTACCATCATTGCACACATCTACCATCATTGCACACATCTACCATCATTGCACACATCTACCATCATTGCACACATCTACCATCATTGCACACATACCATCATTGCACACATCTACCATCATTGCCACACATCTACCATCATTGCACACATCTACCATCATTGCACACATCTACCATCATTGCACACATCTACCCATCATTGCACACATCTACCATCATTGCACACATCTACCATCATTGCACACATCTACCATCATTGCACACATCTACCATCATTGCACACATCTACCATCATTGCACACATCTACCATCATTGCACACATTCTAACCATCATTGCACACATCTACCATCATTGCACACATCTACCATCATTGCACACATCTACCATCATTGCACAACATCTACCATCATTGCACACATCTACCATCATTGCACACATCTACCATCATTGCACACATCTACCATCATTGCACACATCTACCATCATTGCACACATCTACCATCATTGCACACATCTACCATCATTGCACACATCTACCATCATTGCACACATTACCATCATTGCACACATCTACCATCATTGCACACATCTACCATCATTGCACACATCTACCCATCATTGCACACATCTACCATCATTGCTACACATCTACCATCATTGCACACATCTACCATCATTGCACACATCTACCATCATTGCACACATCTACCATCATTGCACACATCTACCATCATTGCACACATCTACCATCATTGCACACATCTACTCATATATTTTTTCTGTCCATTTTTCCCAGTTTGGAAATGTGTGTGTGTGTGTGTGTGTGTGTGTGTGTGTGTGTGTGTGTATGTGGGGATTGGGCAACCATGTCTAAGAGTACTGCGTGGATCAAGACCTAGTGTGTCATAACACTAGGTACCTGATGACTCTATTGATGGACACTCAAGTACTCTATGGATATATCAAGTACTGATGGACTTACTCAGAGTATACACTGACTGATGGACTTACTCCAGAGTACCTGATGGACTTACTCCAGAGTACCTGATGGACTTACTCCAGAGTACCTGATAGAGACTTACTCCAGAGTACCTGATGGACTTACTCCAGAGTACCTGATGGACTTACTCCAGAGTACCTGATGGACTTACTCCAGAGTACCTGATGGACTTACTCCAGAGTACCTGATGGACTTACTCCAGAGTACCTGATGGACTTACTCCAGAGTACCTGATGGACTTACTCCAGAGTACCTGATGGACTTACTCCAGAGTACCTGATGGATTTAAACTCCAGAGTACCTGAGGGACTTACTCCAGAGTACCTGATGGACTTACTCCAGAGTACCTGATGGACTTACTCCAGAGTACCTGAGGGACTAACACCAGAGTACCTGATGTATAACCAGAGTACGTTATGTACTCGCACTAGAGTACGTTATGTACTCGCACTAGAGTACGTTATGTACTCGCACTAGAGTACGTTATGTACTCGCACTAAAGTACGTTATGTACTCGCACTAGAGTACGTTATGTACTCGCACTAGAGTACGTTATGTACTCGCACTAGGTACGTTATGTACTCGCACTAGAGTACGTTATGTACTCGCACTAGAGTACGTTATGTACTCGCACTAGAGTACGTTATGTACTCGCACTAGAGTACGTTATGTACTCGCACTAGAGTACGTTATGTACTCGCCCCAAAGAGTACGTTATGTACTCGCACTAGAGTACGTGATGTACTCGCACTAGAGTACGTGATGTACTCGCACTAGAGTACGTGATGTACTCGCACTAGAGTACGTGATGTACTCGCACCAGAGTGCGTGACGTACACCAGAGTGCGTGATGTACTCACCAGAGTGCGTGATGTACTCACACCAGAGTACGTGATGTACTCGTACTAGAGTACGTGATGTACTCGCACTAGAGTACGTGATGTACTCGCACTAGAGTACGTGACGTACTCGCACCAGAGTACGTGATGTACTCACACCAGAGCATGTGATGTGCTCACACCAGAGTATGTAATGTACTCACGCTAGAGTACATGATGTACTCATACCATAGGATGTGATGGTAGAGTACGTGATGTACTCAAACCAGAGTACGTGATGTACTCACAACAGAGTACGTGATGTACTCACACCAAAGTACATGATGTACTCACACCAGAGTACATATACTCACACCAGAGTACATGATGTACTCACACCAGAGTACATGATGTACTCACACCAGAGTACATGATGTACTCACACCAGAGTACATGATGTACTCACACTAGAGTAAATGATGCTAGAGTACATGATGTACTCACAACAGAGTACATGATGTACTCACACTAGAGTACGTGATGTACTCACACTAGAGTACGTGATGTACTCACAACAGGGTACATGATGTACTCACACCAGAGTACATGATGTATTCACACCAGAGTACATGATGTACTCACACCAGATATGCACTCATACTAGAGTACGTGATGTACTCACACTAGAGTACATGATGTACTCACACTAGAGTACGTGATGTACTCACACTAGAGTACGTGATGTACTCACACCATAGTACGTGATACAACAGAGTACATGATGTACTCACACTAGAGTACGTGATGTACTCACACCAGAGTACGTGATGCACTCACACTAGAGTACATGATGTACTCACACCAGAGTACGTGATGTACTCACACCAGAGTACATGATGACTCACACTAGAGTACATAAAGTACTCACACTAGAGTACTGATGTACTCACACTAGAGTACGTGATGTACTCACACCAGAGTACGTGATGTACTCACACTAGAGTACGTGATGTACTCACACCAGAGTACGTTGAGTACTCACCTAGAGTACATGATGTACTCACACTAGAGTACATGATGTACTCACACTAGAGTACGTGATGTACTCACACTAGAGTACGTGATGTACTCACACCAGAGTACGTGATGTACTCACACTAGAGTACGTGATGTACTCACACCAGAGTACGTGATGTACTCACACCAGAGTACATGATGTACTCACACTAGAGTACGTGATGTACTCACACCAGAGTACATGATGTACTCACACCAGAGTACATGATGTACTCACACCAGAGTACGTGATGTACTCACACCAGAGTACGTGATGTACTCACACCAGAGTACGTGATGTACTCACACTAGAGTACGTGATGTACTCACACCAGAGTACGTGATGTACTCACACTAGAGTACTTGTGTAACTGTCGCTATGCTCTGCTTCTCAATACTTGCTTCAATATTCTTTATATCTATTTTACGTGTTATTCAACTGTGTTTTTCCTCCCTTCTATGTCTTTCTTTAGGCTACCTCTTTCTCCCCCACG